GCCACTCGAACCTCCTAAACCGTAAACCCTAAACCCTAAACCCTTAAACCCTTAAACCCTAAACCCCCTAAACCCCTAAACCCCAAACCCTAAACCCTAAACCCCAAGCCCTAAACCCTAAACCCTAAGCTGTAACTTAGTAGAATGGAGTGGGGCCCTGACAGCTCCAGGCAGGCGCTCTCGTGCGTACTGTCGTAGCTATCAGTCGACCCTTCCATCTTCTCTTTTTCTATGCATAATCGTATATAGCTCTCGCTCTCTCTCCCTCTCGCAGTCTCTCTGAGCGGTGTGCTGTATGTTTACTCACACATGCATGCATGTACGCATGGATGGATCGACGGATGGACAGATGGATGGATGTTGGACGGACGGCTGCATGGATGAACTGATGATATGTGGACGTGTATACTGGGAAATAGATGCATATACACCATATGTGTACATGTGTAACAAAAAAGAATTAGTGTTCATGCGGCATGTATATATCTGTCGATCTATCTATCTATCTATCTATCTATCTATCTACCTATCTGTCTATCTATCTATATATATACATATATATATATATATATACGTACATGTGTGTATACATACATGCAAGCATGCAGGCATGCAGGCATGCATGCATAGAACAAGGCAAGCGCAGCAAGCAAGCAAGAAAGCATGCATGCACAAGCTTATCCATACATAAGTAAAAATGTATATATTCTTTAGTGCGTTTATTCAAACCAATAAACAAAAATAGAAAATATGTGTGTATACATATATATATATATATATATATAAATATGTACATACATAGATATGTACACATGCGTAAGTACACACGCACACACACACACACACACACATTCTGGAATGTGCATTCGCATGTGCGTTGGCCACCTCGCCAAACGCCCCCACCTTCAAGGATGTACGTTTTCATTGCTGTCTCACACATGCATACCTGTATCACATATCCCACATGATATACGAACAGCGCATGCCGTCTGTCCCAAACCGTACAGCTATGTAGATGATCAAGGCCCCGCGCAATCCCTATCGCAAATTGAAAGATGACATGTCGCCCAGCCGCGCTCTTATCGAGGGTCCGACTTGGTGGTGTCGCTGCTGCCGGCGACGCTACATGTTGGCGTGGCGCGTGGCCTGCATGCAGCCGTGGCATGGAACATCGCCTTGCTCATCCACCCTAGACCCTAAACCTTAAGCCCTAGACCCCTAAAGTGTGGATCCCGATCTAGCTGGGTGGAACTGGAGCCAGGTCCGAGACAGTGACCGCCACTGTCCTGAGCCCTGAAAACATTGAAAAGCTCCAAATCCGAGGTTGTTTTAGCCCTTCAAAGTCGATAGAACTCGATCGCCAGATTCCGACCTTTTTGGGTTTCTGGCTCTCCTCTCAGAGGGCTCTGTTTGCGCCTATCTCTCTTTGTTGGGACCCCTAAAGCCCTGAAACCCTAAAGCCATGAGGGCTGGCCATCCGGCACGGCGTGTCCATGGTGACGGCCTCCTATGTGAGCCCCGAGATGAAGGCCAGGACCCTGGGCCCCACCAGGGGGTTTAGGGTTTAGGGACTGTTTAAGGGTCTATAAGGGCTCTGTAAGGCATCTATAAGGGCTCCTTCAAGGGATCTATAAGGGCTCTAAGGGCTTGAGGGGGTTTATAGGTTCTAGGGTGTGTAAGGGTTTGGGGTTTCTTGGGTTTGTAAGATTTGTGTGCGATCTTTTTAGGCTTTGTAGGTTGGTTGCTGCGTTGTCATAATGGGCTCTAGGCGTCTATATGTTTTTCTTCTCAGGCTTGTATCGAGGCTACATGGGTCCAAGGGACCCAATTGTATGCAGGATACAAGTTTCGTAGCATAGCATTTGGGGGGTTCCAAAAATAGGGGACCCTAATATAGCACCCTAAATAGTAGAATCCTTATTATAAGGACCCTAAAATAAGATACCCCTAATTTCGGAAACTCCCATTTGGGGAGTACCGACATGTTCAGCCGAAAGAACCACGGGATGGCGAGGCCTTGAACGACGAAGCCGAACAGGCGGGCGTACTTATCTTGAACGAGGTGTCTCGGCGCGTTTGGTTGGGACTGGGAGGCAGACTGTCGGGACTCGTGAGTTGGCCCATGCCAGTCTCCTTTATTTATTTCAGATGTGGAAAGTTGGCGCTTTATCACCTTCAGCAACAGAGGCGCAGACTTGAATTCTAATTGTGGTTCAATGCAAAGGCTATCAATTGAATGTCAGCATCGATGAGCGCGGCATTCTTTCAGAGCGTTCTAATATGTTTCAGGAGTGGTTCAACACCTTCATGTCTTTATGTCGTCGCCGGCAAGCAGGAGCAGGAGCAATCGCAGTAGCAGTAGCGTATTACTAGCAGGAGCAGTAGCAGTGGCAGCAGTAGTAGCAGCAGCAGAGGCAGCAGTAGTAGTAGTAGTAGTCATGGTGGTAGTGATGTGGTAGTAGTAGCAGGAGCAGCAGGAGTAGCAGGAGTAGTAGAAGTAGAAGTAGAAGTAGTAGAAGTAGTAATAGTAGTA